GAAGGACTTGGTGGCAGTGGCGGGGCCCTTGGGAGTGACGCACTTTCTGGTCTTCACCAAATCCCCCACCAGCGTCAACTTTGTAAGTGGGGCTCCAGCAGGCGCCTGTGGGGCTGGGCGGGACCCTGATTGCCCCAGCTCCGTGCTCTGCCAGGCTGGGACTCTCCTTGGGTTCAGTAAGGGGCAGGCGCTGCCCTGGGGCTGGGAGGGGTCTGCTGGAGTCTCTCTCTGCCCCTACAGCCCGGCCCAGAGCATGGCCCTGGCCTGCCTGGTGCTGCATTTGGCTGGGCGCAGAGAGGCACGTGGGCAGGACCCGGTGCCGTTCCTCCCCTGGGGTCTGCAAGTGGGTCCGATGCAGCTGATGATGCAAATCGCACTGAGCACGCTCTGATGTCGCTTTCAAAGTAAACGCACTGATGCATCTGCCCTGCTGGGGGGGGCCCGCTGGTGCTGCCTCCCCCGGCCTCACTCCGGTGTGTGTCTCCCCTGCAGAAACTCTTCCGTCTCCCAGGAGGGCCAACGCTGACCTTCCAGGTCATGCAGGTGGGTGCTGGGGGTCCGGAGCTGCGTCCACCTCTGATAGTTTGGGATTTATTTAACCCTGTGGCCTTACAGCCCAGGCCTGCTAAACTGCTGTGGGTGTGCCTGGCCAGTGTCCGAGCTGGGCAGGGTGCCCCCATGCAGCGAACGAGCCGGGGATGCCCGGGGGGGTGAGCCCCAGCCCAGCTGGTCAGCACAGAGCAAACCGGCCGCCAGCGCCCAGCCCTGTTCGTCTGCCCTGCAGTACTCGCTCATCAGGGACGTGGTGTCCTCGCTGAAGCGCCACCGCATGCACGAGCAGCAGTTCACGCACCACCCGCTGCTGGTGCTCAACAACTTCGGCCTGCCGCAGATGCACGTCAAGCTCATGGCCACCATGTTCCAGAACATGTTCCCCTCCATCAACGTGCACAAGGTGCGTGGGGAGAGGCTGGGGGGCGGGAACCCCCCCCCCCCCCAGCAAGCCTCATGGCTCTGCCCCCAGGTCAACCTGAACACCATCAAGCGGTGCTTGCTGATCACCTATGCCCCGGACAGCCAGCGCCTGGACTTCCGCCACTAGTAAGGGGCTGGGGGTGGGGGGCTCTGCCGGGCTGGATGCTCTGATGAGAGGTCAACCTGCTGATGGCTTGGTGATTTCCTCCTACAGTAAACGCTCTGACGCATCCGGGGGGGGCGGGGGCTCAGCAGACAGACACACGAGCAGCTCCTCCTCCTTCCCAGGTGTGGGCTGATCCCCGGGCTGGAGACGGCGTCTCGGGGCAGGCCCTGTGATGTACAGCGG